GCCCCCGCAGCCCCATTTCTGCTTTCCCCCTCGGGGGCGGACCGGCCGCCCCCAGGCGAGCCAAGGGAAGCAGCGTGCCGGCTCATGGCCACCCCTCATGAGCCAGCCGCCCGGCTGAGCCATGTGCGAGAGCCGCCTTTCTCGGCACTGGGCGCTCACTGCCTGCCTGCAGGTGCTTACATAAGCCGGGAGCTTGGGGGGGCAGCCGCCCGCGAGAGAGTGCAGCCCAGCTCCAGCTTTGGGAAGGCAGGGGGGAAAGGAAATTTGACCCCAAACTGGGACAGTCCCAGGAGTCCCTGGCCTTGGTGGGGCAACAGCATGGCGGCGAGGCAGAGGCCGCCCTCCTGCAAGAGGAGTTCCTCAATGTGTGCCGCAATGGGCGCATGTGGGCTTGGGGGGGGGGACAGTTTGGCGCCCCCATCCAGGGCCCGCTGCCCAATCAGGGTCCGGCACTCTAGGCGAATGCCTAGTTCGCCTAGTGGGTGAGACAGCCCTGGTCCCCACTCTCCTGCTGCTGTTCTTGGGAGGTCCCTTGAAGAATAATTTCAGAGAGCATTTTGTGCTGCTGCACAAGGAGGGGAAGTGACAAAATCTTCCATCCATGGAAATATGCCTTTGGATCCAAGCCATTATGCAGACTCAATTGCATTTTAGTTGCTAATGCACCATTGTTATTATTCCATGGAACATTCAAACTGTATTTCTTTATTGTATCAAAACAAGTACGTCCTCCTGTTTTGTTTTTAAAAAACCCTAATCAAACAAGAATCCTGACCTTCATTCTTCATAAGTATCCTTGAACAAATGAAACTTGCATCTTCATATTTTGGATCATGGATAGTATAGTCAAAGGACATTTTTTTCATTGTTTCTAGATCAGGCCATGCATCCCCTGGTTGGTGGTAATATTGACCTGACTCTTCTTTGAGATCTGCCACATCAGGAACAAAAGGGAAGTTTAAGAAATATGCAATAATTAAGTAAAACATTTCACACAAGTAGATGCTGCAGTTGGTTGGATACCTGGGCAGTGAACAGGAAAACAACCTCTTGCTATGCACACTATCACATCATCTTCCGCATAAATGAACGTGTAATTCATTATTCAATGAGGGTGGAAGGAAGTCCTTGTAAGACTGCCAGAGGGCAGTAACAAGCCAGTTCAACAAGCTGAAAATCAAGATGGAATTGCTCAGGGTAGACAAGGTTTACAGTCTAAAACAGAGGATATACAGAAATTGCCTGTTCAGGATAGTTGTGCTCCCCCTAAAGTCACATTGGTTTACTAAAGAACTTGTTATGATTCAGGAGAGGCACAGTTGTGAAGTTTGCACACCTGCTGTCCATTTTACAATTGTATTGGACATGTTTTCTAGCATATCTAAGTACTCTGAACTTTCCAATCATATAAAATATATCTTAAAATTTTCAAGTGCTTCAAAATGTTGTCTTTTAGAGACAGATAGATTGTAAGTGATGAAGCTAGCCTTCCGGCAAGAAAAAAACAGATGCACGTTATTGTGTGACTGAAAACATGCATATAAGTGGTCAGTGGAGTAAATAAAAAGAAAAATACTACATTATGAAATAAGGATTTTTTAAAAATGATTTTTATAGAGGGTTCGATTAATTACATGAGATTTGGTTAAGGGGTTCAATTAATGGAAATAAATTAGCATAAGGGATTGCAAATTTTGAACAGAACAATAAAACAGTCTCACTGATAATTAAAGACAATTGGAAGATGTTTCCCAGAGGAAAGATTTCTATGTGGAAAACTTACCAATATTGATCTCCTCTTCATCATAAACATCCACTTCAGTCAATCGAATCAGCATTCTAGACAAGATACTGAGGAACTGCAGATAGGCCCCTGTCTTTCCTATCTGTAAATATACACATCAGAAACTATACAACTATTTGCCATCAGCATCATATGGGGGGGGGGGGGTACCTGACATCTGAATGACCAACACAGTCTAATTCAAAGCCCACTTATGACATTCTCTCTGGATGCCACTCTTGTTATTCCCTCTTCAGTTGTTCAAACTCATGAATTACTCTATAAGTATACAGGGGAGTGCAATCATATCGGCCAGCCCACCTGCTAGATGTCTGCACATGCACAAGAACATATCAAGGGGCTACGCGTTTGATCAGAAATGCTGCAAAATGTTGGATCCACATCACACATACAAAGCTAATGCATGTTTTGTTTATTGTATACAGTCTGCACTCTCTCAATCAAGGCTGATTCTTCAGGCACCTTACAGTTAATAAAATTCTTACACACAATTTAAAAACACAATGAAACAGTAAAACATTGAAGATTGGGAGGAATTTAAAACAGCAAACAAAAATGACGACTTGTCTAAAGACGTTTAAAACAAGCTTTTAAAGCCCAGAGAGCAACAGAGCAGTTAAAATTTAAAAAGCAGATGGAAACCAGCTCCTTAAGAAAAAAGTAAAACAAGTAGCATTGCAGAACCAAAAGACAGCAACTCCTTAAAGCAGTAAAACAGCAGCATTTTAAAGCAATATAGAATGTATGCAAAACAAGTCCAATGCCTTAGGGAAAAAGAAAAACACACACTATAATATACTAAAACACATTTACTAGTTATACATTATGTTGTTGTGACAAGAGGGATGGGGATATACGTAAAGACATATTGAGTGTAAACCTATGGTTCAGCCTTCCAACTGTCCTCTCTGAGGCAGGGTACAGATCTAGATGCTTGTATAAGATTTTAATAGCAAAAAGATACTACTAATAAATTCTCTCCTATCCATTCCCATTATGTAAGGTTCTGGGATTCCTAAAGAAGGCAAATACCAGATATGTGCAGTTCCAACATGCTGGTAAGCATATAAATGCATCTGGCCAGCAAGAGTTAGAAACAGATGACACTTTCAATGGAATGATACCTCTGAAATTCCACTTGAAACATTATTCTAAAAGTGTGCTCATTACATGGTTTATGGTGTGATACCATTGAATAATTATACATTACAGTTAAATTGTTCTTGGTTGAGTTTATCAGTACGAGCAGAAAAGAAATCACCTGACTAGGGAACATATGGTAATGAAAATCAGGTGAGGAGAACCATCAGTGACAAATTGAGAGTCGCAGTACCATCCTAAGCAGAGTTATACCCTTCTAAGTCCATTGACTTCAATGGACTTAGAAAAGTGTAACTCTGTTTAGGGATGACACTGCTAGTGAAATTTCATTGGAACAGCAAACAAAAGAAAGTAGTTTTCACAAAATTATGGAACACGTATGGACCTCCATCAAGATATTCTAATGGCAGGAGGCAAGAATTCACAATAGACAAAATGGAACCTCTTACGCAGAGGAAAACAGTAATGCCCTTACTTGTAACTGTTGTTCATTGAGTTGTCTTCTGTGCAGGCACACAGTGGGACTGTGAATGCACAGGCCTGCCGATGGTGAGGATTTCTAGCTTCTAGAGAGACAAAGGGGCACCCCTCCCCTTTGAAGTAGCCATGTCATGTTTTCCCGCTGAAAATGGTGCGCATCAAAGGGAAGAGGCCCCATCTTCCCTCAGTTCTCCTGGGCCACCTGAGCCACTCTGAAGTACAGAAAAAGCAAGTATACTCCAGAGAGTTCAACAGTGAGGCAGGTGGGAGGGAATGTGTGCCTGCACAGAAGACAATTTGACGAACAACAGTTACAGTTTAACACTGTTTTCGTCTTCAGTCTTCTGTGCAGTCCCACATTGGGAGAATACCAAGCTACTCACCAGGTGGCAGGTGTAGAGCTCTCACTTGAAAAGCACATGGAGAACCGCCTTTCCCATTGCAACATCATGTCTGGTGTCTGTATCCCCAGCATGATGGTAGATAAATGCAGGGGTCTTGTTGTAGAAAAAGAGCTGCCGGAGCTCATTAGCATAACTCATTAGCATAACTTATTTGCATATGCCACGCCCCCTGACATCACCGGAAGTGACAGAAGGCCACACCCCCTGACATCACCGGAAGTGTGTCAGAAGGCCCGGCTACTTACCCTCCTGCTTCATCCTCATTCCCAAACGGAATGAGGATCGAAGCAGAGGGCGGGGTAAAGAAGGGGGCGGGGCTTCACCACGTGACCGCCCCGCCCCCTAGAGGTTCTCTTCCGGAGCTCCGTACCTGAGAGCTCCCCCCCGACTAGAGCCCTGGATAAATGTGTCCGCAGAGGACCATATCGCAGCCTTGCAAATGTCTTGCAGAGGGACTCCACCATGGAAGGCAGCAGATGACGCTTGAGACATGGTAGAGTGGGCTTGAAGAGACACAGGGCAAGGAGTGCCGGCATGTTTTGTAAAAGATCCTAATGGCTCAAAAAACCCAGTGGGATAACGTCTGAGATGACGCCACGTGGCCCATATGCAGGACAGCACAACAGACGAGAAGCAAGTGTGATTTCCAGAACACATGGGTATGGTGTAAGTAAAACAATAAAGCTGTTTTCACATCCAAAGCAAGCAGGGCGTCTTCTGCTTGGGATTAAGAGTTGGGGGGAAATACGGGTAGCGAAACAGGTTGTGACAAATGGAACCTGGAGATGTCCTTAGGGAGGAACTCAAAACTATGTCACAATTATTAATTTTTAAACTTAAAAAAAAATTAAATTAAAATAAACTATGCCACAAAACTTGATGGCGGGGAAACCCAACCTTGGAGAACTAAAAGAGCTAGCCTCTGGTGTTTGGCGTGCTCTTTTCCCGCAGTCTGGGGAGCAGGCATTGACTGCGCATGCCTGGGCCAGGGAAGGAGCACCCTCCCACTCAGTTTCTTCCAGCCACTGCTGACAAGTCCCACCAAGTAAAGAGAGATGCTAGAAGTGGGGAAGACTGGGCAGGCGTATATGACTGCACAGATGACCACTCGAAGATGATCACTTACAGGTAAGCAACCTGTTTATCCTCTTCATGGTCTCTGTGCAGTCCCACAGTTGGGTGATTAGAGAGAGCCAACACATGGATGGAGGGTGCTGGCAGTTCAATAGTGTAATAGAAAAGGCAGTGAACACTTACAAGAGATTACCTGCAGGAGCCTACCTGGGAAGTCGAAAGAATGCAGGCATCAATGGAAGATGGGTCGTAGCCCTGACTGCCCGAAGGACACATCTCATCTAGCTCTGATGCGTCACGATTCCGAAAGTGGACTGGGAGGACCAGGTGGCAGCAGCAAAGATGTCTTTCAAGGGAATACCCTCAAGGAAGTCTGACAACGTAGACACAGCCCTCGTGGAGTGGGCCTTCAATGAAACAGGTAAAGGCTGCTTCGTGAGTTCATAACGAAGTGCAATCACTGCAGTTATCCACTTAGCAAGCCATTGCGGGGAAAGCTTGTGTCCCTGGCGAGGCTTCCCATAGGTCATGAACAATTATGGATCTTTCTGAAATGAGCCAGTCCTGGAGAGGTAGAAGTACAGTGCCCTGCGGACATCCAAGGTGTGAATCACCCTCTGACCATTGTCAGCAGGATTTGGAAAGAATGTGGGCAGAGCTGTGGACCGAGAAAGATGGACAGGGGAGAGAAGCTTTGGAAGAAATGCAGGGTCAGAGCAAAGGACTACTTTGCCCCTGTGAAAAATGGTGTATGGTGGATCGTAGCACAGAGCACAGTTGCTCTCTTCGCCAATGTGATAACCACCAAAAATCCAGTTTTCCATGAGAGAAGATGCAAAGACATGGTCACAAGGGGCTCAAATGGCTTGCCCATGAGCTTCGAGAGGACAAGTGATAAGTTCCATGCTGGAACTAAGAGTTTAACCGGAAGGTGCAACTGAACCATACCATTTAAAAACGATTTGGAAACATGGTGGGAGAAAAAAGTTCTCCCATCTACAAACTGATGAAAAGCAGAAATTGCAGAAAGATGCACCTTTAGTGAGGAATAGAGAGCAAGTAGGACAGGATGTCCAGGAGAGGAGCAGTCTGTGGGTCTAACTGGTGGCTAGTAGCATAGGCCATGAAACGTCACCACTTTGCCAGGTAAGAATGGTTATTTATTTACTATCAAATTTATACCCCACCTTCCCTGCAAAGCAGAATGGTGAGTAGTCGGCTTCCGAGCATTCAGCAGAATGTGTTAGATGTCAGGCAGGAGGTTCAGGGCATGACTCACCATGCAGTCAGTCTGAAAAGGTCTGGATTGTGGTGCAGAACCATGGTGTTGTGAGAGGAGGTCTGGCACCAGGGGGAAATGCAAGTAAGTAGCTCGAGAAAGCCGTAGTAGACTGGCCACCAGGGCATCACCAGAATGCACTTCAAGCCATCATGAACAAGTTTCTAAACCATTCTGGTGAAAAGTGGAAAGGGGGGAAACAGGTAATAGATACACTCCCGTCCATCGGTGCAGAAAGGCTTCTCCCTGTGAAAGTCTGATCGAGGGACCCCTGCTGTAGAACGTTGGGTACTTTGCGTTGTCCTCGGTAGCAAAAACATCTATCCAGGGACACCCAAAGGTGCAGAAGATGGGCTACAGGTATTTGGGATTCAATGACCGCTTGTGCTTGTTTGATTGTGTCTGACTTAGGGTGTGTGCTTTTCTGGACACCTGGCAGATGAACAGCCATGAGGTGGATGTTCTGAGCCCTGTACTAGTGCCAAAGGGTCAGCACTCTCCTGCAAAGGTTCTGCCCTGCTTGTTGACATAATAAATGGTTGCAACATTGTTCGTGGTGACCTGGAAATGCAGACCTTGCAGAGATGAGAGGAAGAAGCAGAGGGCATGATGAAGCATCATACGTTCCAGGCAATTGATGTGCAGAGTCTGTTCTGACATCAACCACTGGCCCTGAGCCATAAGTGCTCAGCAGTGGACTCCCCAGCCCCATAGAGAGGTGTCAGTGGTAAGGACAACGTCCAG